TCCGGGGAGCAGTTGCTATGCTTTCCGGACTTGCTCTCTTGTCGCTCTAGTGAAGATATGGTTATTGTCATTCCTTCGTCCTATGGAACGTCTATGGTTACTGTACCGTATCTGTCTTTCGCTTCTATTACTGTATAGCTCTCCAAAGGAATTTCACCGCAGGCTCTTGAAAGAACCAGCACTACAATTCAAAACAGTATCGTACTCGTACGTACACGTACTCTTGTACCTTCTCATGTGCAAGGGTTCCGTTCCGGTACTCGACTGGTGTCGTACGAGGTACGTACCGTATCGTACCGAGTGAGATGAGGGACAAAAGCAGAGAGAACAAAACGTCGAATGGAAATTTGAAATTTAAAAATTGAGTCATATTTAACTTGTACTGGGCCGTCCGGAACCAACACGCGCGCGTTCCCCCTTTGTAATCAAACATCGGGGGCATGATTTCGAGGGTTATTTTTACCAATAATAATATTATGAGGAATGAACCATTGGTGGTACTTGTTGTACGTGTTGTKGATCAATTAAAATTTGATTTCACAGGGCACTCCTCCTCCAAATTGTGTAAACTTAACATTCCAAATGTTAGCACTATAKGCCTTCCTAGAAATGAGTACTGCAGTTCTGCTTGAATTTAACTTAAGTTTAAAGCCACTTAGGTAACATACTACTACTGGTGCCTACTAGTAGTACTTCCAAATGTTAGCAGGCAAGGCATCATTTTTGTTCTTCCTCCTCTTTTTTAAGAAATAAGACCAAAATTATTGTTTTTGGATCCTGGCACACTGCCAAATGAAGAATGGGCATTTTACCAGGATCTATGAAGGCCTACAGTGATAATCACCAGGGGATGTTACTAAGTCTAACAATGGAATAGTTAAGTTAACATTGGGAACTCCTCTAGTACCTCTATCATTCAGAATGGCCTATGCAACATATTTCAATTGATCTGAAATGCATAGTACAAGAAAGTTGTGACAGGTGTGGAGTTGGTACAAATTGTACATGGCTATATGGAGGGAACAATACACCTCATTCCGGTTCCTCCTGACTTGAAGAAGCTGTCTCAAAATGGAAAAATATATATATATCATAATATTTAGTAGTAGTAGTACTTATTTGTAGGTACAACACTATGGACCTAGGGGAAACTGAGTGCTCTAAAAAACAACCTCTTGATCAATCTACTATGTGAGACTCTGGATCCCCTTGTTCTTAGTATTCTTACTACTTATTATTCTTATCAATTTATTCCACCAGCATATGTGAGGGTGGGAAGTGTCTGCTAATAGCTCCATCCTGCTAGGTACCAATATGAAAAATTAAGCTCAAAGGAAATTTTTAATTCTCATTTTTAGCTACTGTATAATACTAGTTGTAGGAGTGACTAGTAGTATCTAATACTGGTGATGTAAATTGAGTGCTAGAAGAAAAGTGAGTCAAGAATGCTCTCATCAAGGATCAAAGAAATATGAAATCTAAAATCAATCAGAATGAAGATCAAGTGATGTGTGAATTGTGGGAGTGTCTTACTGTGCTTTAAATAACAATTGAACTTTCTTTAAATAAGGGTTTTTGAACATTAATTTAACATTCTGAATATTAACCCCCCTGTAGGCCTCATAGAAATGAGTACTGCAGTTTCTGCTTCAATTTAACGTGCTGAGTGCTCTGATTACTAGCAGTCTGAAAGTTAGCACCAGGGGGGGGAGGCGCCCTCTTCTTCCTCTTTTTACTAAATCCCTTCTTCCTTTTTTGGTGTGTGCAAGACTGAATGAAGAATGTGGATAATACTAAGATCTACGTAGGCTTACTCTACATTTAACATTCTGTACATTAAATTAAGATTCATAATGTTAAATTAACTATCCCAATGCCTTAATTAACGTACTAATTTCAATTGATATTTTACATAGTATTGGTACTACCGAGGATGGAATGAGAGTTTTTCACAGAAGCTACACAACTTTTGACGCGTTGCACGCCACTCTTAAATTATGACCCCTGGAACCATGTCGATTTCAATTTCTTSGAAAAAATTAGATTCCCAGGTCCCCCTCGGGGTACCAAAAATTGTGATCAGTTTTGATCACAAAAAAATGTGATCAGATATAACAAATTTGTGATCAGTTTTTTGTGATCAATCTTGATCACAAATTCGAACTGTCTTGCTGTGTATATTTTGTACTAGGAGTCCCGTTTATATAAGAATTTAATACCCTCATATAAATAATAACAGTATTTTTACACATTTGTACTACTACTAAAAGTACACCAGTCCTGTATTACCAACATAGTAATATGCCCTATTAAGAATTAACGCGACGTGCTACTAATATGACCATACATGACTGGTGAATATATATATTGATATCATACTATAAATCGAATATAAATATTAATGTGAGAATAAAGTACATATTAGTTCTAATCCGTGCAATCCGTTGGAAAAAATGTGACCAAAACTGATCACAAAAAATTGTGATCAAGAAATTCATCAATTTTGTGATCATTTCTGATCACATTTTTTTGTGATCAAAACCAATCACATAATGGAAAAAAGGGGACCGGAGAATTTAAATTTTTCGAAAAACATCGAAATCGACATGGTTCCTGCCTCGCACGAATTCAAAAAATGATTTTTTGTCAGGGTCGCGCAACGACGTAAGCCGTCATGGCGCACCAAGCCAGCCGACTTCCAAAACATGGTTCTCCGAGTGTCACAAAATACCAAGATTTCCTCGAACGCGCACCCAAAACATAATTTCAAACTAAGCTTCCTCGTTCCCAACGCTTGTGAAATTTTGGCTATCAGTAACCGTTTGTTATTTTGGTCAATCCACTCACTCGTGCTCACAATTGCTCTGCTAAACGGTTCAATTTAACTTGTGTCACACAAAACGGACTCGTAATCTCATAACGACGCTGAAGTTGAAAAGACACAACAATTGAGAGGACTTGGTTTAAAATCAATTCCATACATCAAGTCAACCCTATACCTGACAATTTATCAGTTAGATACAAAACCATGGTGGGATCAGTGAAACTATTGATCGCAAGCTTGTGCTTAGGACAAGTGAATTCGCAGAGAGAGCAGCTCCGCGGGAGAAACGCAAAGGAAAGTCTGGATGAGCGCGAACGAAACTTGCAAGGTAAGCYAACGCAGAATCACTTTCATAACAAGGAGTTGAACAGAGCGGATTCGAAATATTTTGTGGTAMTACCTTCGTACTCATTTGGTTGTTTCGCTCATTRACGAATCCTACGACAGTGGCTCCTACCTTCACATTTGAAGAACAAGAAGGCTACGATGATTACTTTGAATTGCCGACCGACGTTGCATTCTCTGGAGGCCAAGCAGCAAGTGATTACTTCACCGAGACCGGTGATGGTATKGAGTACCACTGGGAAWSTGCAAGTGGCGGTAGAGTAGAGAGCGGCGGGGGTTACTTCGAAGACGMMAC